ACCGGGTGCCTTAAATCCACCCTGACCCGGGTCCTTAATCCGCGATAACCGTTCATCAAATACGCTACTCGCTTCGCTCGCGCGTATATCCATATCTCTGCTCCTTCTCCCTTACCACCTACGCTAATTCTTACCTTATCCACCCTATCACCCGTACCATATACACTATGATCCCCCTATCTACGTCTACTATCCTCACCCTCACTACACACCCTATTTTCCCCCTCACCACGTCCGCTATTCTTACCCTATCCACGTACGCCATTATCACCCTCACCACATACACTATCACCACCCTCTATTCTCACCCTCACCACCTACCCTATTCTCACCCTCACCACCTACGCTACTCTCACCCTATCCACTTTTACTAACCACCCTTACCACATACACAATTCTCACCCTATCAACTTTTACTAACCACCCTTACCACATACACAATTATCACCCTCACTATATACCCCGTTCTTACCCTTACTATACTTTCCTTCCTTCTCCCTTATATCCCCATCCTTCCCACTATGTCTATCTTCTACCACCTTATATTATTCTTAATCAATACCCTCCTCTTTTCTATCTTCATCCTCTCTTAACCTATCTATTATACCATCTATCGAAATATTTATTATATCGCCCCTTCCTCAATCCTATTCGATCCCGATATCTTCCTATATAACCTCAACCTTCCTATATCGTATCTCTATAACCCTGGAAACCCCGTCCGAACTCCCCCTCTACTATCATCCAACCCCATACGCCGCTACTTCTATACTTCACATTACTTATATCTGCCAAACTAACCAATAACCCTCAATCTATACCGATTTATATCCTAACTATCTATCTTTCTACCAAAATCGCGACTTCTATCAAATCCCTTTTGATTCATATCTATATTGTCTATATTTTCTAATTTCCTATTTAATTTTTTTTCTCTCTCTTCTCCTCTCTCTCTTCTCCTCTCTCTCTTCTCCTCTCTCTCTTCTCCTCTCTCTCTTCTCCTCTCTCTCTTCTCCTCTCTCTCTCTCTCCTATCTTACCCTATACGCCATTACCCTATCTATACCGGTACTTACCTTGATATCTACGTCTATATCTATATCCTATACCCTGATACGGACGCCTCTCCCTACCCCTACGCCGATACTCTCCATGTTACTCTATACCCTAATATATACTTACCCTTACTCCTTCCATATCGTTTGGGACTCATATATCTATGCCTCTACCCGATTGATATATATCTTCTGTATACTAACCCGATTCCGACTAATCTCTTCCTCTTACTACCGTATACGCTCTTACCCTGACTACTATATACCCTGTGACCCTGACTATACTGATATGATTGATATCCATATACTCGATGCCCCTTCGCTTTTATTATCGGTATACCTATACTCCCTCGACCCGAATATTGCATTCTCCCTACTCTATATATTCCGACGAAAATCTTGATGTCTATTCTCGCTCTTCAATATAAATCGATATATTACCGATCTTCCTTATATTTCTGTAAAATCATTCTCTCTCTACTAATGATATCTCTTTCTACCGAAACCCTGACCTCTCTTCTACTCTGACGATATATATTACCCGGGTCCCGGATATACTCGCTACCCTACGCTGGTATCCACCGGACCTGTATGTCTATTTTCTCTATACCTACGCCTATACCCATCCCTATGCCCTCCGCACCTATATACCTATACTCTCTGCACCTACGCCCTCTGTCCCTACGCCTACGCTCTCTATACCTACCATCTCTGCACCTACGCCCTCTGTCCCTACGCCTATCCTCTCTATACCGATATGCCTGGTATACTACTACCCCTACTACCCATATACTATTACCCGGACCGTACTATTACCCCTACCGCTATTACCCTTACCACGATTACCCTTACCACGATTACCCTTACCACGATTACCCTTACTACCCCTACTGTATCACCCTTACCACGATCACCCTTACCACGATCACCCTTACCACGATCACCCTTACCACGACCACCCTTACCACGACCACCCTTACCACGATCATCCTTACCCCGACCACCCTACCCACTTACGCTATTATCCCCCCAACCATACTATCACCCTTACCACGATCACCCTTACTACCCCTACGCTCTATCCTACCCCTACCCTCCATCTCCCTACACTCGGAATCTCGATCCCTTCGCCCTATGAATACCTATGCGCCTATGCTCTCTCCGTCTTGATGCTTGATACCCGAATATATGACCCTACCTCGGATAATATATTTTGGGTCCTATATCGCCATCCTCTACCCGATTGATCTATATATTCGCAATCCTAACTGGATGCCGGCCGAATGCATCCTCTCTCTCTCTTCCCCTGACCACCCGATACGCTATCACCCGGACCACACTTATACTCGGAATATCGATATACTCTATACCCCTACGCTGTCGATTTCTATCTACCTGTACTCCCTCGATTGGGATATCGGATTCTCCCGACTATATTTATTTCTACTGAAATCTCCATTTCCACCATCTCTCTGGTTTATGAATATATATATTATCAATATCACTGATGTATGGGCGAACATCATTCTCTCGATCAATGATATATCTTTCTTTCGAAATCCGGATCGTTCGTGATGCACCCTTCTATCCTCGCTACCCTGGGCTCTACGCTCTCTACCTCGATATATAATTATCCTCACGATATTCCTTCGACCGATATCTCTATCCTCTACCCGATTGATCTATATATTGTATTGATACTTTAATTATTCCGGCCGAAATCACGCTTTCTCTACTTGAATCATATCTCTTACTACCAAAACCCTGACCTCTCTCCATTACCCTGACCATACTGATAACGATGATCCCCTATATACTCGCCACCCCGGGCTCTGCGCTCTGCGCCTCTATGCCCTTTACCCTGTACGCCTACGCCCGGTGCACCTACGCCTACACTCACCCCTGCGTCCACGCCTACACATATGCCTATGCCCCGTACGCCTACGCTCACGCCTATACCTTCGCCCTCTGCTCCTACGCCTACGCCTGCTCTTTATACTCTCTATACCACGGGCCTCTACCTATACGCATACGCTCTCTATATCTATATATATACGATCTCCGTACCTATACGCCTATGCCTACGCCTGTGCCCTCGCCACCCTCACTACTATTACCCTCACCACCCGTACGCTATCACCCTGACCACGCTATCACCCTGACCACGCTTGGGCTCTCTATACTACCGGGCTCTATACTCCGTACGCCTACGCTCTCTGTACCTACGCCCTCTGCACCCACGCCTACATCCACGCCTACATCCACGCCTACATCCACGCCTACATCCACGCCTATCTATATACCTATGCCCCGTACGCCTACGCCTACGCTATCTACACTCACGCCTGTGCTAACGCCTGTACCTACGCCGGTGCTCTCGCCATATGTACGCCTATACTCTCTAACCCGATATGCCTGGTACGCTACCACCCTTACCACTCCCTATACTATTACCCTTACTACGCTACACACTATCACCCTAACCACGCTTGGGCCCTCTATACTACTGGGCCCTATACCCCTAAACACCCTACACGCTCGATACCTATATGGGATGATCTTGATATTCTGTTACGTCTTTGTGCACAAAAACCTATCTTTCTAATATCTGATATTCTGTTGCGTTTTTATGCATAAAAACCTATCTCTCGAATGCCTATCTTCTGTTGCGTTTTTGTGCACAAAAACCTGTCTCTCATATCTGATCTTCTATTGCGTCTTTGTGCACAAAAACCTGTCTCTCATATCTGATATTCTGTTGCGTTTTTATGCATAAAAACCTATCTCTCGAATGCCTATCTTCTGTTGCGTTTTTGTGCACAAAAACCTGTCTCTCATATCTGATCTTCTATTGCGTCTTTGTGCACAAAAACCTGTCTCTCTCATATCTGATATTCTGTTGCGTTTTTGCGCACAAAAATCTATCTCTCGTACGTCTTTACATTCTGTTGGCTTTTTGTGCACGAAACCCTATCTCTCCAATGCCTATCTTCTGTTGCGTTTTTGTGCACAAAACCCTATCTCTTGAATGCCCACCTTGATTATATATATCTACTGAACGACCCTACGGGAAATCCGCCGATCCCGTGAATGATAATATATTCCGATTCCGCCATCTACTCGACTTCATGCCCCTGATAAATCCTTCGACACCAAATGAACTCCTGTACTAACCGGGACTGCTGGCATGCAATCTCTTCTGCCATACCCCCAAAATACCGCTTTAACTGCTCCTCATCCGTACTATCCACCCCGACATACTGTAACCGTCGATCCCACGCCGTACGGATCTCCGCATGCGTTTTCTGGCTGAACAACATCATCGCCACCATCGGTAACAATGTGTGCCGGTATTGCTCACATCTCTGCTGCGCCTCCGTCGTACGGGATATCGCTTTGCTGGGATCCCCCTGCGGGCATATCGACTGCGGCATCCCACACCGGAAATGCGCGCTGTAATCCTGGTAACGGATCCCATCAAACGCACGCATCCGCTTCCACCACGCCTTGGCCTCGATATTATACCCCCACGGACACCGAAACAACTCATGTCCGTCATCCCTCCCCTCCTGCGCACACGACCAACACCGCATCAACCACCGTCCGATCTCACTCTGGAAATACATATCTCTCTGGATCTGGTCCTGCCTGGCCTCGGGTCGTTGGCTGGACAACTGGGCCCGCTGGATGTCCTGCCGCCGGAACTCATGTCGGACGGCCATGGGGATGGACGGGCCCTCTCCCCGGGACCCCTGCCCTGCGTTCTCTCCTGTGGACCCTGGGCTGGGGCTCTCTCCCCGGACCTCTCGCTGGACCTCTCGCTGGACCTCTCGCTGGACCTCTCGCTGGACCTCTCGCTGGACCTCTCGCTGGACCTCTCGCGGGACCTCTCGCTGGACCTCTCGCGGGACCTCTCGTGGGACCTCTCGCTGGACCTCTCGCGGGACCTCTCGCGGGACCTCTCGCTGGGGCTCTCTTCCCCGGACGTCTGCACTCTGGGTACCCTGGTATGCCCGTCCGGCGTGCTGCTCTCCATCTCGTCACCGATATCCGTCTCGCGTGGATACCACCCCCGATCACACCCATCACATGCCGATTCGTCGTCCGTACACCCCGGCCGGACATGCCCATCTAAATATTCATCTAATATCACCCGCCGGCATCCACCCCCCGCGTCCAACGGCAACATATACTGCTGCACCCGCTGCTGCTCCTCCGCGGACTCGGGCATCCAAGCCGGACGCTGCTGATATCCCACCCGCTGCCCCTCCGGCTGAATGATGATCGCCTCACTCGGCAACCCGTCACGCCCCGCACGCCCGCTCTCCTGCGCGTAATCCAATATCGTACGGGGCTGCCCCAAATGGATCACGCTGCGGATGTCCGGAATGTCGATCCCCATGCCTAACGCGTTGGTGGCCACGATCACCGCCCCCGCCGTCGTACGGAACCGGGCTAACACCCCATCTTGATCGTGCTGCTGGCTGAAATATGCGTCACACCCTAACTGGTCCGCCATCATCCGGACGTGCGCCACGATACTCCCATATACGATCACCCGTCCGGGGTGGGCCCGCTGGACCCGCTCCTGGATAAACTGGATCACCCCGTCCATCTGGATCCACTGGGATGGGTGATCGTACCCCGCCTCCACCTCCGGGCACCATACCCGGTATGCCACGTTGGGCCGGTGCGTGCGGGCCCGGTATATGGCCACCTGCTCCCGGGGCCACCCCATCCGGTATAATAACGTGGGCTCGGCCGCCGGGGGTAACGTGGCCGTCAACATGACCATCTGCGTCTTGGCGGCCCGCAACTCCCCCATCATCTGCAACTGGGGCCGGAAATCATCTTGATTGTTCAACACGACGTGGCACTCATCGATCACGATCCGCTCCAACCGCTGCAACATCCGCTGCCGGTTCAAAAACGTCCGGAACCCCTGGCTGCGGGTGCTCTCGGGGGTGACCAACACGATCGACGCTTCGTCCGGGGGCCGCTGGCGGTCGTACGGCACGCATGATATCCCCAACTGCTCGCACCGCTGGACCATATCCTGGCGTAACGCGATCAACGGGACGACCACCACCGTCAATCCACCCCCGACCCACGCGGGTAACATGAATAATATGCTCTTGCCCCCCCCGGTGGGCATCACCGCCACGACCGGGCTGACCCCCTGCTGGATCGCCCGCAACGCGGGCTCCTGCACCCCACGGAATACCATCTCGGGCCGTCCGACCATCTGCTGGAACGACTGCAACATATGGGCCTGCTGTAACTGATACCGCCGCTGCGTCCGGCTCTCCTCGGCATCATCCTCCCACGGATTCGGACGCTTACCGCATACCCCGGCGCGGACGGCGGATGCAAACCCTAAAAATTGATGCCAATCCTGGCTGGACTGCCGGAACCGCTGCCGCCGGTGCGTGGTGCTGTTGGTGGGCTCCATGATCGTACGACCGTACATCATCCCGGCCACGTGGGACGAATGGGTGGCTTGCAAATCCGCAATATGCCCCATAAACTCCTCCTCGTCCATCCCACCCTCGTCGTCGGGGTCGTACGGGGGGGCCGCCTCGCCCGTGCCCTCCTGCACGTTACTCTCAAACTGGCTCTTGCCCCGTAAATACCGCCGGCTGATCGCGATGGCGATGTCGCGGTATGCCGACACGTGGACCGCCTGCCCGTGCAACCCCGCGGCCGTGGCCGATTCCAACGCCTTCCGGAATCGTACGCCCGTCCACGCCTTCTCGCTGCCGGCGTCGGGGCCCCATAAATACTCTTGTCGGCGGGGGGTGGGGGTGCCTCGCTGCTGCCACTGATATGCTTGCAATATCTCCACAAACGGCAACACCAACCATATATATCGGACGACCAACTCCCCAACCTCCTGCGGCAAATACCGCTGAATCACCTTGGTATCGTTGGTGATATGGAACCCTTTGTGATATCGGCTGACAAATACCACCATCCCATCTTCGATAAACACGTTGCGGATCTCTCGCTCGCTGTTCCGGTACCGGATACTCAACAACTCGGGCGTACGGCTGGGCTGGCCGGCCGTGATATGGATCGCCACGCTTAACCGCTCGCGGAACCGGGCCACCTCGGCAAAATACCGGTCAATTGCACGCATCCGGAACCCCTGGCCGTCCGGCTCGCTGAATCGCCGCCGGAACGTGGGCTCCTGGGCCACCCGCTGGATCAACCACTCGGCCCCGTGGACGGGCCACTGCGTACGGGAATCCTTGATAAAACTCCAATCCGCCGTCCGCTGCGTGGGATCGTCGTATATATCCTGTAAATCAATACTGGGGATCTGTGCACCCTCGGCGAATATCAACTGCTGGTGAAACTGGTTCCGCATGCTCTCGACCAACCCGTGGACCATCCCACGGAAATCACCCATGGTAAAATGCAACTGCTTATACAACAACTCATCCTCGCCTTTCCATCCGATATGCCCCTCGGACGGGGTGTTGAAAAACACCTTCTTTCCGTACGTGCGTAAATCCAATAACCACTGGACCGGCCCGTGGGTCCCACGCACCATAAACGCATCCACCATCAATCGTAACCACTCGGGAAACGTACGAATCACCCGACGACCCTGGATCTGGGTGGGGGGTCCCAAAATGGACGTGGTGGGGGATCCGGGCATGGGACGGGGGGTGGGCGTCTCTCGGACGGGGCTGCTGGCATAACCCTCGTCCCCGTCAAATATATATCCGTCCGCGACGGGGATATCGTCACCACGGAAATGGGGCTCCTGGCTGCCCTGCGCGAACCCACGCCGGATGGCCAACGAATCGGGGTCTAACCGCAACGCCTTATGCAATACCAAAAAACGGGCGATCTTGATCAAACTGGATATCTTGGGGGGGTAATCCTCCACCCCATCCCATCCGGACAACTTCCGGCCCAACACGGCCGATGCGCATATAAACGCACACCCATACTCGTGGTGCCGGATCCGCTGGCGTAACAAATTGATGCAAAAATCCATAATCGCGCACTCCAACGGCGATAACTCGTACGGCTCGGGGTCCATGGGGTCCGGGCTGGACCGGCCCGCGGCCTGCGCACGCCGCCATACGATCTCCCACGACCGCTGCTGTGCGGGGGTGAACTCGTACGGGGGACTCTCCCAATCGTGCGGCTGCTGGGTGCGGGTGAAAAACATCAATATCCGCTGCCACGGCTCAATATGGTCCTTGATCTCCGCTTCTTTCATATACGCCAACAACGGCTCGTACGGGGAATCGGCCTTCTGCGTGCGGGCGGCCTCAATCCGCACCAAAAACCCACTCGCCCGGGTGATCTGCTGGCTGACCATGGCCAATCGCTCCATGGCCTGCCAAATGGCCCATGCCGCACCCTCGGGGCCCTCGGCATCCTCGTCCGGCCGCTCCATGGACTGCACTAACGGGGCGGACGAAATGCCCTGTAAATACCGGACCCACCCCGTACGGTTTAACCATGGGGTGGCCTCGTCCAATTCCCCGGCCTGGATGACCGTCTGCTGGCTGCGGGCCTGCTGGGCCTGGAATGCTCGTACGCGCTGGACCAACTGCTGGATGGCATCCACGGGTGGCACCGGTTCGGCCCGCGGTGGATCGGGCTGGCGGATGGGGATGAACTGGGAACCGGACCCATGCTTGAAAACACGTTGGCATGTCACACTCTGGTAACTGGTATTAATATCCTCCTGGATACGCCTGGTCTCGGATGGTTTGGGACGACCCCGGTGGGTGCTGGGGGACCATTCATGTGCGCGTTGCCAATGGACTCGTAATGACTGCATCGTACGGCAAATATATCTCTCACACCGTAAACACAATAAACCGTCATCAAATACGGTTAATCCGGGTATTGGGCTATCAATCTGGGTGGGCCAATGGATAATATCGGGCTGGTCCTCAATATGGTCCCATTGCTGTACGCAACTCTCAATATACTGCGCTACCGTACGCGGGACTCGGTGGTTGGTACTGGTTAAATGCGTGATAATATTATCTCGTCGCACGGCATGCTCACAGTTACGGCAAATTACCACATGAAACTCGGAATTGGTGAAAAATAACTCGCTGGCTGTGGGATTGCGGGGCGTGGTCTGGGACATGCTGGAAATGGTAATATATCGCTGGGAGCGATTATGCGAAATCTGTACGCTCAACTTTAACACTATACGGGTGAATTGGTCAATTGGCCTTGGAAAACAAACTGAATATATGGCTGAATCAAATCAATCGACCCCCTGAGTTTTCAGCTTTCTCACCCATGTGATCCCCCTATACCCTATTGGGTATCGGGTGGTCGTGGTCGTACGGTGATGTATCACCCTAACCCGCGGTCGGCACCCCATCAAAAAAAACTCCCGGATTTTGGACCCCTGCAATAACGATTTCTGCTGCTGGAAATGATCTGAATTTTGGTTTGACTATGAAGTAGAGGGTGACGAAAAACATATCAAAATTTGAGATCTGTACGATAAAGCATTAAAATTGTAACGGACTCGGGAAAATTAATTGTAATGGACCCCGCCCCACTTTTTTTTCTCCCATACTAAAGAATCTCACCCTAATTGTAATGGTGTCCATTACAATTACCCCCATGGGTTAGAGGCTGGCGAAAAACATATCAAAATCTGAGCCCCGTCCGAGTCCAGAATGTAAATCCATCCTTATCTTGAAATAATATTCCATCGTACCCCGACCCACTTTTTTTTCCCCCATACTAAAGAAGTCCACCCTAATTCCATCGTAGTAGAATGGAATTACCCCCATGGGTTAGAGGTTCAGGTCGTAGTCTTGCAGTGTTGTGCCCAGAAGGCCCTGGAGTGCGGTGAACTGCTTGTCATCCTGGTCGATCGACCAGATCATGAGCCCGCCGAGGCCGACATCGTTGGCGTAGTCGGTCTTTTGCTTGAAGGTGTCTTTGTCGTCGAAGCTGACCCATTGGTCATTGCTGAAAGTGAAGTATTTTACCCCGGCGTCTTCGTCGTGGATGATTTCGGGGTCCTTTTCAGATATGATGTCTTGAATCTCGAAGCTACCATTCAGTGAGATTAGACAGATCGAACCAAACTTAAGTAGACCTCGCCATGACCCTCAAACGGGTCCAAGGTCAAGACCCTCCACCCGACCCGCGTGAGGGTCGGGTCCAACCTTAGGGACCCTCACCCGACCCTTACCCGCAGAAGGTTACTTATGGCTCACCCGCACTCACCCTCACCCACCCGTTTCTGCATAACTTTTCTTAACATTTCCTAATTAGGATAGATAAAATTGATGAGTCATATACATAAATTACAATTACATACAAAAAAAAGTGCATAAGATATTGTTTGACTTGTTTGCTCACCCGCGGGTAACCCGAGGGTGACCCTTTACGGGTGAGTATAATACTAGAACCGACCCGCGGGTAGGAGGTCAGGACCCGTCACCCGCAAATTGGAGGGTCGCGGGTCACCCGTTGCGGGTCACCCACGGGTCATGGCGAGGTCTAAACTTAAGAGATAGTGAGGGTTAGGAGGAGACATACTATGCCAAAGTCCCCGCGTTATTCGTGCAATCACCCGCCTTTGCAGCCCCTGCAAACTCACACACAGGCGATGAACACGTCGGACTCTTCAGCTGGAAGGACCGTCCGTAGAAGCCTAGCCCGAGGACGACCTTCTCTGGAGGGACGTCGTTACGCCATAGAAGGTCCATGGACTGTTTGATTTCCGTCAAGTCTGTATGTCCCTGGACGATATCTCCAATGGGGTTCTCCTTGTCCCACACCCCGTGGAGATCATAGGTCATCATGTTGGTCCAGTCGGCATACTTCAGCATGCTGGGGACATCAAACCACCGGAGATACCAGTAGGAACTGGGGATGGTAAAGGTCCTTCGGCCACTAGTACCACCACCTCAGCTACTCCGTCTATCAGCTGCGCTTCCAAATATACTGTTACAGAGGGCGATGATTGCAGCAGTGTCAGCAATAACCAGAAGGTCTCTGAGGCGATGCTCCGCTACAACAATGATATCGCGGCCGATTGTTCCAATTTCCCTGATGTAGGCACCTCGCTCTGTCTTCCTGCCACTTGCGATGTGTACACCTTGCAGGCAAACCAGAGCTGCTATGATATCACTCTGGCCTATAATTACACTTTCACGGTGACGCAGTTGAACTCGTGGAATCCAGATATCAACCGAGACTGCAGTAACCTGGAGGTAATGGTCGGGACCCATCTCTGCGTCAGGTACGCGCTATCCGTCCTATTCTTCCTTCTCTACGGTCCTTCCTGCTGACATCTGAAAGCCCTCCAGGAGACACAGCGGGATCCAGCATGACGATGACCACGACGTCAACTATTGCAACGCCTACGTAAGTTGCCTCACTAACACTTAACTTCACGATCATAAGATCATTCTGTATGCTGATAACCCTACAATCAAGACCTGCACCAACCAATATCGCGAACGGGACAAACGCCCGTTGCGGCAAGTACTACGAAGCAGTGCCGGGGGATACCTGCAGCTCTATAACTGTGATGATGGCCATCAGCTTGGCCGAATTCTATTTCCTGGTAAGACTCTTCCCAAATCCTTCTCGCGTAGACAGAAACAACTCAACTACTCTAGAACCCCGAGGTCAACAGCACCAGCTGCAACAATCTCCTGGCCGGCTCCTCCTACTGCGTCCAGGCCGTGGGCGATATCGCGACCTATTTGGGATACGGGTGCGTCTCTCCGCCCGCTCCGCGCCGTTCAATTGACTCTCTGTTTGGTTACTGAACCAATTCATTTTACAGAGGATATAGCAACCCCTGCATAACGTCGGTTCCTCTCCCATCCAGCTGCCTAGCAACCGCAGTGTCGACCACCGACTCTGACTGGACGTTTCCCACCTACTCGACCAATGCCACCCAGCCGACCCCTTTACCACTGGCTCCGGGGACCTGGTCTAACTGCTCGACTTACACGCAGTACATTTCGCCGATGCGGAATACCTCGACAATTAACTCTTGCTACGTTGTGGCAAGCATGTACGATGGTGAATAGATGAACAGAAATCTCTTCCTTTCGAGAAAACTGGATTAATTGACCTATTCCTACTGCAGTGGACGTGACAGACTTTGTCTCCTGGAATCCCTCCCTCTCTTATGACCCGGACGCAGCTGATCCCAATGACTGCCAACTCAAACCGGGGTATCAGTACTGTCTCCAGTTGACTAAAAACACGGCTATACCGACCACAACGACGGCGACGACGACGACAAGCAGCACAACAACCAGTGGACAGGCCACGAGCACGGGACCAAGCGGACAGCCGACCCCGTTGCCTATCCAGGTACTTACATCCTCTCTATCCCCGTTCCATTCCGCAAGTCAAGGATCCGAAACTCACTTGATATACTCTGAACAGGACGGAATGACTAACAGTTGTGGCGCCTTCTAACTCGTCAAAACGGACGACAGCTGCTACGACATCGCCCTAGACAACCTATATACCTGGAATCCGGCACTAAATGGGGACTGCACGGGTTTGTATCCGGATTATTATATCTGCGTTGGGTTGCTTGGTAGCACAACCGCCACCGCAACGACGACGACCACATCCGTGGAAGTTTCAACCCCCACTCCAACCCAAGCCGGAATGGTAGCGGACTGCACTTCGTTCTACGACGTTCAGAGCGGGGACGGCTGCTCCGACATCGCGGCAGAGAATGGTATCGTCCTGGACGAGCTATACCTCTGGAACCCAGCGTTGAATGGGGACTGTTCTGGCTTGTGGCCTGACTATTATATCTGTGTCGGGGTTGGTTCTGCCACCACTACAAGTACAGCTACTACTACCACGGCGCCAGGGGCAGTCGCAACACCGACTCCCACCCAATCTGGGATGGTAAGTGGTTGCAAATCATTTTACTACGTTCAAAATGGAGACGGCTGCTATGATATCGCGGCTGAAAACGGGATCGCCCTGAATACGTTGTATGGCTGGAACCCGGCGCTGAATGGGGACTGCAGTGGGTTGTGGCCGGATTATTATCTTTGTGTGGGGATGTAAACATTCTACATATGTACCTACATGGAATAGTGGTAGCTCGTAGGCAAGATAGGTGGATGGTGTCTACTCAAACTGACAATTTTGTCTTCTTTCTCGGACTGCAATGGAAAGACCATTATCTAATCACAATAGGTAATATGAGCTAGCTTCGCGTAGCTTCAACTACTGGAATCGAGCAGGTGGCGGCCAAATCCCATCTCTTTCCTCTCTATATTTCGCATTGGCGGCCGCATGCAACCTGGTCAGCTCCGAGGTATGCCGATAGGGCTTCCGTCTCGCCTCGCCCTGGAGATCGCGCTGAACCAACCGCGCAAACAATGTCGGGGCGATATGCTTGATGTCGACTTTTAGGGGTTGCAAAGCCTCAGGCTGAGCTCCAGTCGCAGCTCCGGTCCCGGTTCCAGTCTCAGTTCCTGGCTCTGGCTCTCGCTCTGTCTTTGACTCGGACTGGGGTTCAGGCTCAGCTAACCAGAGATACGGCCGTGTCGTTTCACGCGAGCGGAACGCCTCGTCATCCACATAGAGAAAAACATCGCGTCGAAAGCCAGCAGGAATCTCGTCATTTGAGAGCATTGTGCTGAACCTGCTCCGTAGTGCACTCGGGTCCATGCTGCCATTACTACCTGGAACAGCCACCCAGTGCAATGTGAACCGGTCTCTCGTCTCGTCCTTAATCAGCCTCGGTGAATAGTGTAGTCCATGGTAAACAGCCGTTCCTATCAGGGATTTATATTCTGGAAGGCGGCCTTCTTCCTCTTCTTCTTTCGGGTAGAATACCACGAGACCGAAGCGACCACCTGCTTCACCAGGGCCCTGACCACCAGGACCAGAATCAGAACCAGGAGCAGAATCACGCGCTGAAGCTGAACTGGATTGCAGTACATGCTCCTGCCAAGGAACCTTCATCGCAAACCGAATATTCTTAATGTCATCATCGTTCAGCGCCTTGGCCGCCGCCAGTTCTACCTCTAGCCATCGCTGCTTAACCCTCTGCGCCACCTCCCTAGCAGCCCGAATATCGTCCGTCGTCGCCGCTTCCATAGCTCGAGCCTTAAGGTCCCGATCCTCAGGAGAAAGGCGCGCCACCTCGGACAGGATATGGCCCGATTGTCCCTCGACAACGCCGGCCGTTAAGAGACTGGCTTCTTTGTAGCTCAGGCCGAGGTTGCTAAGGGGGAAGCCATCATTGTCATCACCATTGTTGTTGCTGCGATTGATGGCTTTGGTAACTAGCTCGCCCATGGACAAGCCGCAGGCATTTCGACAGAGGGTGTCTTCATCGTCTGGTGGGCTGCGGTGGGTGATGAGTCGGCGTTCTTGATCCGTTAGTGAGGAGGGGTTGGATATGGCGCGGTTGTAGAGGGTGCGTGTCGACTCATCCAGGACCAAAGGGGTTCTATCTGCGCTTATGCTGAAAGGATTGGTACCTCTAGCATCGATGGAAAACGACATGTTGACAATTATGTGACTATTCAGAAAGAAGAGGATGATTGTGTGCAGGAACTTGGGAGTAGCAGAGTTCGACTACGCTAGCAGGGTCGACACGTGACGGCCTAGTGAAACACGACGGCAAAATCCCGAGATTCTGACGAGGCATGATTGCAGCGGAGAATTAAAGGGAGTGGTTTTATTGGGGTTGCCTCACAATGCCTGTAGCCTCACCATGTCTTGTCGGAACAATGGATCATGTAATCAACTTTATTAGTCAGCGTACCACATGTTAAATTGCTGTGGTGGAGACTAGAGAATACCAGACAAGTACACAGACGTGACCCATACCATTGGTACATGCTGTTCGACCCTGATTACGTGTTCAGAGAGTTATGAGCCCGGATTATCTCTCCTACCGTGATATTTTGATTGAATATACGTTCTAGAAGCTCTCCTCGACTTGCGACGACAGGATTGTTTACCCCTGAGATCACTGACGACGACAACAAAGTTGCCGCGTCAACCCCTCCGAAGAACACGACAATTGAGAAAGGATTGAAAGCCATTTGAAACCAACTAAGGATGGACCCCACGGTATCTGTCTCACAATGGAAGGGTGAGAAGCTGAAAAACAGCTCTCATTGGCCAGCTTGGTACTCTGCGATGAAGCAGTTTGCCAAGACTAGGAAAGTATGGGATTACTGCAATCCTGAGAAACCAGCCCCGGAAGTGCTGGAGGAGCCGCAGGCCCCCGCACGACCGCGGTTACATATCCCACGAGGGGCAACTACAGAGGTAGCCAAGACCCTAAGGGAAGAGTTTAAGAATCGTCAGATGGAGTATAGCTACGACCATGACGATTACAAAGAGGAGCTCAAAAGGTATGAGAAGGTGGAAAACGGCCTACAATCAGTTGAGTTCGTGATCACTGCGTCAACAGATACTAAGCTACACCGTCTCATGGATGATCTTGAGACTCCGTACGAGAAGATTAGCTTTCTCAAGAAGCGCTTCTCACACACAAAGTCTCACCAGAATGAAGTCCTGCTACGCTGGGCAGAAGGGTGCGTACGACCACCAAAGAAGGGTCAAAACGTACTATCCTGGCTAGAAGAGTGGGAGCTGATACGTGATGAAGCGGTCAACCTAAAAGTGGAGAGTGACACTGCGCAGCATCCGCAGCTGTTTTTACATGCTGTAAAGGACATCCTACCGGTCTGGTGGGAAGCTCGGTTCCAAAATATCGTACTAAGAAGTAATACAATCGAGATAAATGATCTGATTGAGTCCTTCCGTAACTCCTATACTATGTCGTATTCCGAGACTACCAAGAAGAATACCAATTCTATATCCAAAGCAGCATTTGCCACATCGACCTGGCAGGGTAAAGCAGAGGCTGAAACCTCTAGAACCGACAGAAAAGACGGGAAAACTGGACCATTTCAGGACCGGAGCTACTGCCCTTGTGGCATGAAACACCCGGTCACCCGGTGCTGGGTGTTGAATGAAGACCAACGACCGGATGGGTGGATGGGCCTACTAAAGGCCTCCGAAGCGCTGAAGAAGTCATTCAAAAAGGAACCAGAGTGGAAGGTCTGGGCCGAAAACCAGATCAAGAACTCACCTGACTTGGCAGGAAAACCGTCTGGATCAGCAAATTTAGCCCACGTTGGCTTTGCCACAGTCGCCCTATCAACTGAAGTTGATACCAAGTACCGAGACCAATGGGTATTGGATACCGGAGCAAGCGTACACGTATGCAACGACCGGACCAAATTTACCGAGTATAAGGAAGACCCCTCGTATCTCCGTACGGGTGACAATCGGACCGCAATTGCTGGAGTCGGTACAGCAACCTTCACCGGAAGGGATCCTACAACTGGCAGACCGCGTGTGGTTAACCTGTATAACTGCCGTTATTCTCCAGATTTTCACTGCAATTTGGTTTCCTTAGGCAGGATAGAGGACCATGGAGGATGGTGGGATATGAAGCAAGGAAGGATTATGATTGGAGATCAACCTATTCTTGAGACCTACCGAGAACATGATATTTATCTGTTCTCACAGACGCGGGATGAACGTACAGTTTTTCGGCCGAAAACAGAGGGTCGTACGACTACGATCAAGACCCAAAACAACACCCAGCATAAAACTGCACTTGCTACCCGACGATCAGAGAAACCGTTGAAATCGTCTGCCAATACTAATACGTGGCATAAACGACTTGGCCATGTCTCGAAGGCAGCAATTTAGCAACTACCGAAACTGGTCAGTGGAGTTGAGGTTGTACGAAGCACGGAGGATGGGGAAGAGCGACCGGATGATGAAATTTGTACGGTCTGCAGCTTGGTCAACGCTCCACGACAGGTCTCGCGGAGACCGATAGGCAAGCACTACGGACGGTGCGGGAGGGTCTACTTTGACCTAATTCAGGTCATTATGGGATATAATCAGCACTGCTGGATAACCCATTTCTACGTTGAGGGTATCCGGTTCCACTGGTTAATGACCCATGTGAACAAAAACGGGTGCCAGGAAGCGATCAGAAGCTTTATCGCTTTCGCTATTCGCTGGCTAAATTTGCCGATTAAGGTGTTCCACTCTGATAACGAGAGATCAGTTGATGAGAGTATTCTACTGCTAATTAAGCAGCTGGGGTGTGTTCACACGTTTACAGTCCCGTATACGCCTGAGATGAACGGTCCGGGTGAGCGTGCTGGAGGTGTGATTATCCTTAGAGCGAGAGCGCTTCTTAAGGAAGGAAAACTACCCGATAAACTATGGCCAGAAGCGGTAAAAGCGGCAGTATACCTGCTGAACCGTACGCCTACGAGATTGGAAGATGGGACTTGGATAGTTCCATGGGATGAAGCACGGCGCTTTATTGGGTTCAACCAGGGTACCGAGGGTACTCCTGTCAATACTCCCACAAAGACGTCGCTTGCGAATATCAAATTGTATGGATCACTTGCATACTGCAGGATCCCCAATATCCCGAAACTTGACAAAATGAAGTCACGAGCTGAGATAGGATATCTCGTTGGCTACGTGGCCTCGAATATCTGGCAAATCTGGATACCGCACCGTGGTCAGGTCAGGATGGTCCGAGACGCAGTTTTTGATGAAAACCGACGTTTTTCGGCAGAGAACCATGACCCGGATGAAGGGGTGAAGCTACCAGTTCCAGAGGACTATCCTCCCACAATCATGGAGGAAGGACTAGAGGTCGACTGTATTCGACAGGGTCTCGACGAACAGACTGCTCGTACGAGTATTCCCGAGAGTACCCCAGAAGGGAGCTCTCCGGGACGGTCCTATAGAGCAAGAGATGCGGATGATGTAGACTTCATACAGGATCAAGAATCTGGAGGATCTAGAGAACCACAGGAGACGACAATACCACACTCGGGACAAGATCAAGTTTTTGTGCACAAAACCCCAATTGATCATACCCCACCACCGGATTATCCAGTTAGAAGCAATTCTGCGGAAACTACCACTGATCAAGGGGTGAGGGATGATCCTGAGCGTCTCGCTCAGGACCATAATCAAATAGATCAGACGCCTGTTTCGCCAGTATCACTACGGGAACCGAGCCCGGAGGATCAACTCCAGGACCAATTACAGCTATCCCTACAGGAGAGCGTTAAGCAAGAGGATCGTACGACATCGGCCAAGAACGACTTGGCAGGGTCATTGCCTAAGGATCAAGATCGCGATTGTGCAGCTGTGGATACCAGCAATATCATCCAGGGACCGAGGGTGCGAATATCGAGACGAGACCGAGACTACGCCTATAACACCATGTTTATCGATGACGACAACGGCGACGATACCACAACAACCACTTTACAAGCGTTTGCTACCGGTCTTCTAGCACCAAAACCGTCGCTACGGCAGCATCGAGATGACCTACCACCTCCACCACAACGATTCCGAGACGTCTGGAAACACCCATTGAGCGAAGGTTTTAGCCGAGCTATGAGGGTTGAACTAGACGGACTACAGGCCAAAGAGACGTACAAAGTCGTGGAAAGGCCAAAGGATCGTGGGATACAAGTACTGCCCCTCATGTGGGTATATGCTTATAAATTTGATCAAGATGGGTTCTTGATTAAGTGCAAAGCCAGGATCTGCGTACGTGGGGATCTCCAGACGATCTCAGACGCAGACAAGCGAGCTGCCACACTGGCAGCCAGAACTGCCCGTATGCTATTTGCCCTGAGCGCAGCGTACGACTTAGATATCCGACAGCGAGATGCGGTAAACGCTTTCCTAAACAGCAAGCTCCTAACAGAAGTATACACTCTGATGCCCGAGGGTTTTATGACTCAGGGCAAGTGCTGGAAGCTGCTACGGGCGCTGTACGGACTGAGAATTGCTCCACGACTTTGGCAGCGAGACGCAGCGCGTGTACTGAGAGAGCTTGGTTTACAACAGGTTGCCGAGGATCCGTGTGTTTTTGTTGGGGATGGGATTATCGTATTCTTCTACGTCGATGATATCCTAATCGCCGGCCACCACACTGCCCGCGAGCGTGCTCAGCAGCTAGAACGGGAACTCGAGAAGAATTGGCAGCTGACTGACCAAGGGGACGCTGAGTGGTTTCTAGGGATCAGAATCCTACGAAATCGCAAAGAGAGAAAGCTCTGGCTAGTGCAGGACAGCTATTTTGCCAGTGTTGCTGAGCGGTTTAACCTGGCTCACCGAGCTCCGGTCTGGACTCCGGGAACCACGGAGATCCTAGAGCCATACGACGGGCAAGCTACAGCCGAAAGCATCCACCAATATCAGCAGCGAGTGGGCTCAGTTCAATATGGTACCACGATTACCCGCGCGGACGCAGCAAAGCGAGCGTCTATCTGCGCACAGTTCCTGACCAACCCTGGTCCGAAGCACCACCAAGCAATTGAGCGCTTAATCTGCTACCTCTATACCACACGGTTCTGGGCTATACAATACGGTCCAGTTGACAACGACAGCGAAGTGGTGAAGTTCTCATCAGATGCTTCGTATGGGGATATGGGTGACCGGACTAGCTCCGCAGGATATATTTGCCAGTTCTTCGGTGGACCGGTGGACTGGTGGGCAACCAAGCAGAAGACCGTGACCACGTCGACGACGGAGGCTGAGTTATTAGGCCTATCAGACGCAGGAAGGTCACTACAGTGGTGGGATCGTCTATTTGGAAGGATTGGTTTCAAACATCCGGAGGGTCTCACAATCGAGTGTGACAACCGCCGTACGGTGGACTTGATCAACGCAGAGGATACCCCCTTCGATACCAAGCTCAGGCACGTTGATATTCACGGGCACTGGCTGAGACAAGAAGTCAAGGAAGGCAGGGTGCGGATCAAGTGGGTACCAACCGCGCAGATGCTCGCGGACGGACTCACCAAGATGCTGCCGAGGCAGAAGCATGAAGCTTTTGTCAGGATGCTGGGATTGACGGACGTGCGTCATCTCATTGAGGAAGAAAAATAAGTCATACTTGCCTAATTAGTAAGTAGAGGCTGTTTTGAAAAGATCGCAGTTCTGAAGGAATTGTGTCTATTTTGTTGCTTCTGAGAAGCTTTGAATGATTCAAGTGACCATTTATGGCAACTGCGCAGCTTTGCCAGGACTGCCAAAGCTGAAAGGGTGTGTCGGAACAATGGATCATGTAATCAGGGTCGAACAGCATGTACCAATGGTATGGGTCACGTCTGTGTACTTGTCTGGTATTCTCTAGTCTCCACCACAGCAATTTAACATGTGGTACGCTGACTAATAAAGTTGATTACATGATCCATTGTTCCGACATTAGGGAGTCTGCCAATCATACATATCAAGATGTGCTTTCACATTAAGACTGGTCTCATTCTTGCTCAACAAATTTGAGGGGTGCAGTAGCTGAGTGGTAACCTCGTGCCAACGGTAAAATTTACAGTGGTCGCGAGATACTGTTAAAGAGAAAAGAATGTGCAAGCAAGCAAATGTCTTAATCTCCAAAGTGCGAAAGTCATTGACAATCTCACATATTCTGATTGCTTTGACGGTAGTTCGGCTGCCAAACGAATTGGCATGAATTCCTGAGTCGAATCGCTGGCCATCTGAGATAGTTCTGATGGGTTGACAATTTCGACTAGCCGGTCTCGTGATAGAAGTGCTCTTGACATGAGATGCATTGCCCTCTTTGCTTTGGTTCAAAATGAAATCAATGCTCATTCGTTCGGCCATAGTGGTATGTTGAAAATGAACAGAGCAGATTATCTTTGGCGAGCTACACATCAGTAATGTAGGGACTTTTGATCGAGCCAGTAGAAGCTACGATAGGTGGATGGGGTGGTAAGGAGATAAATACGGCCCCAAGGAGAAAAGGAGCGATTTGAGCTTACGTATTGCATAAGCGAGCCTGTTACCCCACCAATTTTTGATGGTTCAGGAGAGACTCGACTGAATACGTCGGGGGGTATTGACCGAGCATTTTGACGGCTCTAGCCCAAAATTCTGCGAGTAAATTCCATAGTGATCTCCCTATGGCAAGATGCCCTCAGGGCGGCTGCCATCGAGAGCGCGGCAACACCTGAGCTGACCGAGTTATCGGCGGCGCCAATGGCACTTGCGAACATCAAATTGACAGACCAGAGCTCCAGTCTCCTACTTTCAGGAGCAATAAAATGACGCTATTAGCAGACGCCAGGCAAAGGGCCTACTGGAACCGAACCAACACGTGAGTGCGAAGCGGGACACCAACACCTTACCAAACGGACCCGATTCTACGAGCGACTGTAGAAGATTCGAGGAATCGAGACCTCGAACGAGTAATCCACCAAGAGATTGAAGCGAGAAATGTAGAGAGTGTTCAAGTTTAAGGCTCTGATCACCGAGCTTCGAAACGAGGTGGGTCGCAGGGATGGGAGAAATCAGGAGGAGATAAAAGGGTAAAATATTACACTGGCGGAGATGCAGGAGAAGATGAAGGAATTCAGACAAACGACTCTTACCACCAATTTAACAGGATGTATTGTCATGACTTCTACGAGGAGGTGCGTGCCGAGCGCTTGAACCTCGGGCACCCGGCTGTGATTGTGGACGTACGATCGGCGCAAGTGACGGAATTGAAGCGTTGGTTGACGATCCTACACAAGTGATGCACCAATCGGGGAAACCTCGGTGAAATATTGGCAGAAGTTCTGCAACATGGCTGTCCGCGAAATCAAATTCAATTATCAGCGACGTAGGCTGAGGCAGTCGGAGTGGAGATCCAATACACGAAAAACACGTGCCAACCCCCAAAATGCTCATTTGTTTTAGAAATCAGATGGTCAAACGATCCAAAGGAGAGATACAGAGATGCGACCGTCGTGGAAGGCAAACGAATGTTCCACACAAACCTGCAACCCTATCGCCTTCAACAAGAACCCTTACTGCATTATAAGCACTTAGAAAATGAAATCGGAGTGGATGACCTTGAATCGAGGTGAATGCATGTCAAACTAAAGACGAGCTAATTTTGGCGTAAACGGTTGTGTTTTCTTATTTGCGCGAGGTTGACGAGCGGCTTTTCTGAACATGTGTACTGTAGGTGCTTGATACGAAAAACGAGGTGAGTTGTCCATGAAAATAAATCAAGAAGGGAGAACGACAACTCAGAAAACCTGACGGCGCGCGAACCCCCATGCTGTAACCTAACGACATAAATATCCCAACAAGAGTTGCATTCAGGCACTCGGCATCTGGAATCAATTAAGGAGTCCTCAGTCTTGCCTGTTTCGACTGATTTCAATCTTCGAGCTATCCTTCTGGCCTTGACGATAGACATCGAGATCTCGAATGACAGAGTGTCGCTTTTTGCATTCGGACAGCTCGATCTTGTGTTCGGTCAAATAATCGTCTGCCACCTGCTCCGCTGTTGCGCGGAACTGGACCAACTGGGCGCCAGACACCCATGGTGACGCCGCGGGTGAAGATGAGGCCACAAACTCGGCTTTGACATCGGCTGCGGACACCGGTTGAAAAGCAGGCACATCATTTGCTCTTCGTGGTTCTCCAAGTTCCCGTTTCACAAACATGTCAATACTCTCATTCACGTCACCACAGAGGTCTGTCCTCTCCATGTCATCCGTATTGAAGTCAGCCTTGAGCTCGAAGTCCTCGCTGTCGTCCTCCCCGATACAAGGATCAACATCGCGCGCGTTATTGCGAATTCCTCGATCGGGGCATTGATCGTCAACGGCAGTGGCAAACTGGCCCGAAGGCAGCTGTAGTCTCTGGGTTTCTCGCTGAATTGTCGTTGCCACTTCGCGCTTCTGAGAAGCCAGGAAATCTAATTCCTTGCGCCGCGCTTGGTCCAACTCTCTTTGTTTCTCGCGATAAGCCATGGCTGCCAGCCCATCGGCAACACCGATGCGATAACTAAACGTTGGTGTGCCTCCTTTATAGGAACATGCCCAGTCCAGAATTCTATTGTGTGCCATCTCAAATGCCATTGCCGCTGCAACCGTGTTGCTCGTAATGCCAAAGAAGCTCCATTCCACAAAGTCACCACCGTGAGTTGAGTAACACTTGCAGTCAAAACTGGTACACATGGCTTGCGCTAGCTTGGAGGTGAAGGCTTCCATCATGACTCTTTTTGTGGATCTGTCGGTTTTGGTAATGCGAACTTTGCTCCGTCCACCGAAAGATGCCTTATCGCTGTTTCCATCCGCAGCCATGAGATCTGCTTGGGTCACATTATGCTGGCTCATCAGTTTTTGAGAGATGAAAAGGGCAGCTTTAGCCTCTAGCTCGGAGGAGTTCGGGTGGTGAGCGCGACTGAGGCATTTTTGAATTCGCTCCAGGATCTTATCGTCGACGCGAGATGACCTTTGGGCCTGACCGCAGTCAGCAGTTTTGACCACTGTCCCCTTCTGCAAAGGGCGTCTATTGGCGCTTCTCGATGAGCCTTGACCAGTGTGGAGAGGCATCATCAACCAAAAGTGTTTGAGACAAGATAGGTGTGAAAGTATAAAATGAGTAGAGTGACACTGGCGAAGAAGAAGTGTCGGGCATCCAGTGGGAGAAAGCGTGGCAATCTAGAGTTAGTACCCGGAGCACCTCATTTATAGCGTGGGAGAAACGGCCACGGGACTTTCTGTTGAGCTCGTTAGTAAGTCTGCCAGTCAATCTGAGTCCACCCAGGATCTTCACATGGCTGTTGAAAGGGTTGGTGATAAAGAAAACTTCGTGTTATCTGTCTAGAAACTGAAATGCGCAAGATGGCCCTACCTGCATATCAAACATACGACTTTGCCAGAGGGTCAGTCGGTCGAACGGTCATTTTCACAATCAACAATGTGATAAGTAGCATTGTCGCCGTGGATGGTATCAACGATGAATTAGCAGAGTCAAGACGTCCCTTGGAACAAATTGCAAGCCAGAAGACTTCCACCACATCTCACCCACGTTTACATATTCTTCCGCAGAATATGTACAACTGGCCTATTTACCCTAGCATACCTCATATAGATCCCCGAAAGCGCAGTCCTGGTCCTAGGATCAAGAGCGAGCATTCTAGAATCGCAAGGACTCCCAGGACCGGTCAATACGATCCTATACTCATTTTTGCTGCAACCAGGATTGATCTTTAGGGGCCCGGGACTAGCTTCCAAGGGACTTTCAAAACATCTCATCCCTCTTACCCTCCGGATGTTGCAAATTCCGAATTACATGAACGCCGTAGTGTCTCCAGGGCGAAGGGAGAATATATCCGGGCAATCTGACCGCAAAGGGTTGATGCGGACGGACCCTTTCCTGAACGGTGAAATCCGGGTTAGACAGTGGAGCTTTAGAGATTGACCAGCCCCAACCCGTGAGACTTAATTATGTTCAATCGAGAAAATGAGTCCGGCGCGTTGGAAAGTTCAATGGTCTAACACGGCACATCCCTTAGTTCTAGAAACTTTCCTGACTTGTCATTTCGGGTTCCACAGAATCGTTCCGAGAATTAACTTCTGATATCCCTCAATCTTCTATATATAATCGGCCTCTCTACCAATAATTCATTTCTGGGTGGACAACATTCGTGACTGAGCCAGGGCCATGGTAAATGATATTACTCCCGCTGGGCCTCCACCTGCAGGCCAGGCGTCGAACTTTATCAACCCGGACTATTGTGGTACTAAGCTCCTGGTAGTGAATTGCGTGTTTCTTCCATTGGCTGTCATTGCCCTTGCAGTGCGAATCTGGACGCGATTGTTTGTCGTGCGGATCTTTCGCGCTGATGATTGTGAGTATCGATATTGATTCTGAGGGAACCCAAGTAACAATCTCTTCTCTAGTTCTAATGATTATGGCTTTTGTATGTTTGATGACCAGGTTTTGTATTCAGTTTCCCAATTTTTTTACTGATATAGGCTATAATAACAGGTATTATCATGTGTTCTTACCGGACTGGTTTTGGATAGTAAGTGACGCTGATGCAGCTCTTAGTACGCAACTAACCTTATTAGTGCTGGATTGGGGCCTGACAAAGCATATGTGGGATGTTCCTTTAATTGAATTCTCACCAAAGTTTAACAAGGTAGTGAAGCTGCTTACTCTTGTTAGAGCCTAATTTTGCTGATCTATAATATTAAATAGCTGAATCTCATCGCCGCCATTGTCTACTGTGCAGCCACTGGGTTCACCAAATGTTCAGTCCTAATATTCTACCTGCGAATCTTTCCAAGTCGCAAATTTCATACCGCCGTCTGGTCCCTCGTTCTCATTGCAGCTGGATATAGCTTCGCCAGTGTACTTGCAAATATTTTCAGCTGCACCCCGATAGCCAAGTCCTGGGACTCTACAATAACAACGGGATCCTGTATGAACCGACCTGTCTTTTACTTTGCCAATGCTGGTTTGGGTATTTTTACAGATTTCGCGACTGTTGTTGTGCCGATGTACGTTGCTTGTGATTTTCAAGGATTTATAGAGCTAATAAGGTTGCAGACCATGGATTCGTCGCTTGCAAATGCCTATGCGGCAAAAGATGGCTGTTTGCGGAATTCTTGTAATTGGATGCTTGTAAGTCTGATCTAAATGAAAGTCTGCTAGTTCTAATAATGGCATAGTGTCGGGATTGTGAGCTGCATCCGCCTTGCTACCATTTACTTTCTTTTAAAGAGTACTGATCTTACTTGTGAGGCTTTTTTACAATAATTGAGTTAAATATAGTCTAATACTAGTCTGTAGGGACGACTACCAAGGCGCTTATGTGGTGCACAATCGAACTCAACCTTGGAATTATCGGTGGCTCTGTCACAGCTAGACTTCTACAAAACCCAATTTGGGTCCAAGGTCTTGACCCAAAACCCAACCCATATTGGGTTTGGGTTGGGGCCCCAAAGAAACCCAATTTTGCATAAAAAAGAGGTCTTGGCATGCATAACCCTACTCACGAATCAAATTAAAATACTGTTTTTTACAGGTGTTCTGGTTTCCCTCTAAGATTCTTTCTAGTTATAGGTTCAATTAAAGGAAATTTTAGGTAATAAAGGCAGAGTAGAAGATAGAAAGACTGGTTCTCTATTAATTATAAAAGAAAAACGTTGGATTTTAGTATATTATGGTGGTAGTTCCACAAAATAGGGAAAGGGTTATGAAGAACATATAGAAATATATATTTGAATATGAAGTAGTCGGTATATTATTTAGACATTAGTGAAAATGAAACAAAAGTTTTTAATATTCACTCTAATGAAGATGATCTCTATATAGAATGAAAGCTAAATTTCTCTGTTACAATTTGTTTCTTTTTGAATAGATAGACATTATTTGTTGCGGTAGAAAATTGAACAGAAAGATTTCTTCTTTCATGGAGTTGAAATATTTTTAGGGATCTTAGGGGAAATTGGAGTGGGAATTGGGTTTTCCTGGGTTTTCTTAGGGTTTATTGGGTTTTGCTGGGGTTCACCTGGGGTTTATTGGGTTTTCTTGGGGTTTTCCTGGGGTTTATTGGGTTTTCTTGGGGTTTTCCTGGGATTTATTGGATTTTGCTGGGGTTTATTGGGTTTTCTTAGGGTTTTCTTGGGGTTTTCTGGGTTCTGTTGGGTTAGACCCATATTAATTCTCATTACTTAGCCAATCAATAGCTATTAGACTATATTTCTTTTGTTCTAACTCCCTTTTCTATCTACCTTATACAGTGTCTAATATTGTAAGTCTTTCTCCCCCTTACCTTTTACTACCTATGGTCATCCTTAATAACCCATCATGTCTCAAAGCCAGCATTCTGACTTTCAATCGTCTATCTATAATGGAGATCTAGATAATCTCTCATACCTTATACCATCTATTCAAGCAGCAATACCTTCTGGTAGCTAAGCTATATCTGAATTTCACCACGAATTCTTTCCACCAGATCTTCCTCTTCCTCAAAATCCTCCCTCTTTTACCTGCGTCGGGCCAGATCGGAGAAAAAACTACTTCCTTTATGATATGTCGAATCATACTGAGTGGGTTGATTGGTGGTTACAAACTGATTATGGGAGCAAAAGTAAGATTCATTGGGATTCTGGCCGCCACTCTGAAATTTGGAGCAGCTTCCACCAAGTTGCTCAAATTACAGATGGGGCACCAAGTGTTATGTGCAAGCGCTGTGGGAGGGTCTTAAAACACCCTTATTCTGTTCGACCAGGCAGCGATAAGGGCTACCAGGGCACATCGACTATGGCGAAACACTTAAAAACTACAGATCAAAGGGCCGTAGCAGGAAGACGGGATACTGAGATCACAGGGTTTCTCAAGAAAGGAGTAAGTTCTTAAGAGATAAGTTTTTGTGCACAAAAGATCAAACTAACACTTTAATTAACTAGCAACAAATACCAACGACCATCCCATTCTTAGAATCAGACTGGTATGATGAGATCCTACAATTTCTCACCCTTAACCGTCTCCCTTTCAGTCTTATCGAGCACCCAACCTTCGCTAGCCTTATCCATAAGGCTCGCTCTGCACCCGTACCTCCACGAATCCCATCCGCCAATATAGTCCGCCGGCGACTAAAGGATAGGGTTACAGATCGCCAAAAGACAATCCTTCGACTCCTACCACCAAATACAAAGATGTCAATTGCACTTGATTGTTGGACTTCTCCGTTTGGACAGGCATTTATGGCTATAACTGGCTATTTTATTGATGCAGAATGGATCTTTCGAGAGGTGCTTCTTGGTTTCAAACCACTTTCTGGTTCACACTCTGGTATAAATCTCAGTACTGTTCTTCTTGAAACATTACTGGAATATGGTATTACAGACCGGATATTCGGATTAACAACCGATAACGCATCAAATAATAAGACCATGGTTAATGCTCTTCAGCAAGCTTTACCAGAGAATATCAACATTATCCGAACACCCTGCCTTGCTCATGTGATCCAGCTCAGTCTTAACCAGCTTCTCGATCGTTTAAGGGCAGTTCCTTTGAATGATACTCCTCAGACAAAGTGGACAGATAAGCAATCAAAATTAGCCCAGGCTAATGCGAAGCGTGAGAAGCGTGGTATTGCGTCGACCTTAAATAAGGTCCGCTACCTTGCGATATATATCCATGTAAGCCCTCAACGCCGTGATACATTCAACAGCCTTCAGACTAAAGAGCCAAAGGTCATCCCAATACAAGATGTCAAGACTCGATGGAATTCAACATTTTTGATGCTTCGTCGGGCAAAGCGACTTCGTGCTATCTTTCCACCCTTCTGTGCTGAGTATAGCTGTGAAGAAATGCTACTAGATGATGAGGAGTGGCGTCAAATTGACTACCTTATCACTATTACTCAGCCATTCTTTGAGTATACTACTGAACTTTCAAAGACCCGAGATATCATAACACACCTGGTTTTTAAAGTCTATAACGCGCTATTCGACCATCTTGAAAATTCAATACGGCAGCTTCAGCGGAAGCGTGTTCTATGGAAAAAGCATATGCTTAAGTCTCTCCAAGCTGGCCGATTAAAGCTTGATGAGTACTACTCACAGACGGATAATATTCGGGGATCTATCTATGCAATTGGTACCATGCTAGCCCCTGATAACCGGTTCCAATTTTTCAAATCAGATGATTGGGATAAGGAGTGGTAGGAAAAATACAGAAATGCATTCCAAGCAGCTCTTATTCCTTACTAACGCCAGCTCTCCACTGTTTCAGGCATAGCTAGCTCTTATTCTACACCAAAGCCGAGTTTAAGGCTTAATAAGATGCTAAGTGGTAATAAATCGCAGATAAAGCCAGTTAGAGACGAAGTAACACAATACCTTGATGGCGGTTCGTTGAAATATCCTAATCTATTCTATTCTCTTCTATTTACTAATCATCTTAGATCCTATTGATGCTGAGCCTCTTCCATTCTGGAGAGAGAATCAAGGGCATTTCCCAACAATCGCTGCACTTGCACAGGATGTTCTATCTATTCCGGCAACTGGTGCCGGTGTAGAGCGACTTTTTAATACTGCCTGGGATATCTGCCACTATCGCCGTGGTCGTATGAAGTCAGAAACGATTGAAGAGCTGATGATGTTTCTTTGCACTTCAAGGTTTGACCTTGAAGAGCAACAAAGGAAGGAAGTAGAGAAATACTTCTTATTAGATGAAATTGAAGCTGCAAGGGAAGAAAATGATGAGAGACTAGATGAAGTTGAGATAGATCCTATTAGTGATACTGAGGAGTAAGCAGTAGAGGGTGAAGACTCTGAAGACTCTGAAGAGGAAGAGGAAGAGGAAGAGAAGGAGGATAGGGATAGGGATAGGGATAGGGATAGGGATAGGGATAGGGATAGGGATAGGGATAGGGATAGGGATAGGGATAGGGATAGGGATAGGGATAGGGATAGGGATAGGGATGAGGATAAGGATGAGGATAATGCCCTACCACCAATGGGTATGAATACGCAGCTACGGGTATCAGGGAGAAAGCGGAAAAGTAGAGAGGATGATGGATTTGAGCACTACTAGTTTTATTAAGTTTTTAAGCGAATGAATATGATCTTTTTACCGTGATTAGTATGGTTACTGTCGAAAGTTGTAAGGGAAATACGCAATGTTACAGCTTTAAAACGCATAAATAATGTACATGCCCAGACTTGGCATGTTTATAATGTTTTGACCTTTTTGGGGCCCCATTGGGGCCCCATATATTGGGTTGGGTCCGAGGGCTAGACCCAAAACCCAGGCTGGGGTCGAAGGTTGGACCCAAAACCCAACCCAAAGTGCGGTTGGGTGGGGTTGGGTTTGGGGTCTATTGGGTTTTGTAGAAGCCTAGTCACAGCCATGCGACCCTTTATCCGACGATACTTCCCCTATCTCCTTGGTCTATCCTCCGCCGGCGGATACTATGGATCGAATTCTCGAAAACAAGCACACCCTTTGAGCTTCCTCCCTCGAGGAGAGCAACCCGACTACTCGAACCGCGATCATCACTACTCTGCCGCACTCACAGCATCGCGAAATGCACCCGATAATGATAGCGAGGAACATATATTATTTTCGAAAAATGCCGCGCTAAAGGGGGTGGATGGCATCATGCGGACGGTGGAGTTTGATATAGAGGACACGTCTACTGAGGTGCGGTAAAATAAGCTGATAGTCACTTTGTTGGAGCACCTGTATTTATGGTATTGTCCTGTCACCCTGATACGCACTACTCATGCATTAGGGTTAGACCTGTATCTATAGTATTGGGTCGTGACCCACAGAACTCCACAACAATACAACTGAGATACACATGCAACAACACACTTAATTAGCTTCTATTTAAGGCGCAGAAATTTTATTGGAATGTAAATATGACGAATAATCATAATAGAAAATATGAAGATGAGCGATCCTATGAATTAGATATTATTAATTCATTCGATAGAGTTGTATGCATAGAGTGGATCATGAATGGCTAAGGATGAATTAGAGCCCCTGACTCGGTTCCTTGATCATTGGCGGGTGGCGGGTGGTGGGTGGCGCTCGCAATAACACGATGTAATCGAAGTATGATCTTAGCTTTTTTTATCCGCATTCCAAAGCGAGTCATAGAACTATACAGCTTTCTCTGGTTTCCGATACCCGTCAACTCGCATAACAGCCAGTTGAGGTTCTGCGTGCCTGTAGGCTTCTCCAGGACCCAACTTTAGACCCAATCTTGGCAATGCCAAGCACCAAAGAACCCGATCTGGACCCAATTTTTGTTATAAAGTGACCTTTTTAGGAAAGTCTTGGAATTTCAATGCATTTTCATGTAGAAAGTTGGATCCTAGATTCAAAATCATTGGGCAAGATTTGGAGAAGTCTACGTGCCTGCGGATCTACTCCCCGCTATGTCCCGCTAAGTGGATAATGCCCACGGCGCTTAATATTTCAATACCTCAACTCTTGGTTTCAATTCTTCCTCTACATGGTGCCTGGTTATTTTGCTTGACTCATATTCAACCATACTTACATCATGGGTATTTCATCTTTTCTGTTGCAGGCTAGAAGCACGATAGTTGTCGCGGCTCGCTACAGGGCTCTGCAGTAATCGTTCGCTAGACCCATGTTTACAAGTAAGGCTCAGAGCTTCCGGTCAAACTCTGAGATCATGGCTCTGGGTTGTTCTTTTCTTCATGTTTGTTCGGGAGCTGGCTCGGGGTCTGAGGGCGCTTATTATTGCTAATGCTGAGTTTGCTGTTTGTGGTGGCGGCCATATGAGCACTCTGGTAAGCTTTGCGCTAAATAAAGTACGAATAGCATTAGTTCGGCACTTTATAGGGCTCTAAAAACACCGAAGGCGGTGTTTTAGTTGGTATATGGACGTTAACTGATTTGCAGTTGAGTCACGGTAAGTAGCTTATGTCAGTCGGTCCTACTTACCACCGGTAAGCCTTTACTTATTTCACGCCCTTTTGAACAAGGAATTGACAATAATAGAGGAAGAAAATATACTCATACCTTGCCAACTAAGACTTGACTGATGCAGGTGGCCATCTTGGCCCATTAATCACTGCCGCCGTCCCAATACCCCCTTCGAACCCGCTTCCGTCGGTAAATATGGATAGCTTCAGCCAGTCGATGAGATCTCCGTGTAAGGTAAATGCCTGTTCACAATATTATATAATCATTCGCGATAGCGTGGGTGATGGCGCTCTGACGTATGCCTTTCGACTCTCCCGCCTGCCGGCCAAAGCATTTAGGGGAGCCGTTAAGTATCCGCCTTCCAACCAGAATTGCGTCTCCATTGGTTCCCACGCTTCGTATAATTTGTGACCAGATCCTTTGCTGTTTTATCAGGAAGGCATGGCGTATTTTGGGCCTGTACGGAGTCGGAGCGCTGTATCTTTCACCATTCGGTCCATCCGGATGCTAACCGGGGCAGGTACAGTTCCACGTTTAGCGCTTCTGCAGCAGTGATTTTACAGGACCTGCCACCAGGCACGCCGCAAGTTTTGGCACTGCCACGAATTTCTGAATAACCACTTTAACTTTGCCTTTGTCACGCAGTGGTGATCCCCCTGGGACTCCATAGAGCATCTGGGGGGTGACCATTGCCTGGTAGATTCTCCGCATCGTCATGAGTGAAGCACTCCACGTTGATTCAGCTAAGCTCCAGGGCGCTTGGATGAACGCATTTACTTTTATAAGCGCTTTGTCGTGGTTGCAGGTCAAGGTTAGTCGCGAATCTCAACTGAAGCCGAGGTAGTGTTCTGCCAAATTGGTATTTGGCCGAATAAGGTGTTGGTTGATTCACCTCTTGCATGAACTGTTGGCTGAAGTGTACCTGGTCAATATTCTTTGCATTAGAGACTGATGCATGTCTTAGTGTCCATTTCGCTGCTATTTTGCATATTTTTTCAAGTTTTTTTGACATCATCATTGATGTCTCTATCCACGACGATGAAGCCTACATCGTCTACTCATCCATATGCTGTTGCCACCCTTGGTATCGATACTGCGTCTTGGATGAAATCTGCGTATGAAAATGGGTAGAGAATCGGTGAGATCATTGACTCCTGTGGTATGCCTGTAGGCGTGAGTATGCTCTCGGAGATGCCCTCTGGTATACGTGTGCTTCGTCCTGTGAGAAGCGCATTGATCCATGAGATAAGCGTACCTACCCTACGTTTTCGCAGATTATGAAATAGTCGGTCGTGAGAGACGTTATCGTACGCTCCAGAGGCGTCCAGCATGAGCATGGAAGCTTTGGCCTCCTTCCTCCATGCCGTGTAGATCGTATACACAAATTCAATTGGATCGCATGGCCTGTGAAGATGCCCTTTCGACTACCGAGGTGCCCTTAGAGTAGTAGCCCTTGCGTTTCTGCCGCGTGCGAGATACGCCTGGCGACCACTGATTCTAAAATTTCGCTACATTATCTAGCAGGGCGACTGACCGATACGACTTTGCTTCACAATGTTGCTGGATATCACGGTCACCTGCCTTACGGAGGACTAGAGTGATAGACCGCTGAAAGTTTGTTGGGTTACATCCATTTCGTGCGCATTCGTTGGATACATGTTGTAAGGTATCCAGGGCCCCTGGTACTTCAATCGCCTTGTCCCATAATTAGTTCGGAATCGCATCATCTTCAGGTGCCTTCACTGCGGGCGCGCCTTTTCGAGTTCATTCTTGGTGATATTCGGGAAATCGACGCTTTATATATAGGTAATAGAATACAATTATATCGCTGGGATCTGCTGGTGGTGGTTACGGAAAGAATGCCTCTTGAAGGCCAGCTGCTGCGCACTCCTCGTATGCCCTGAGTGATTACAAGGCCATTTTGCTAAGCGCCAGAGTCTTTTTGGCCATTCTTCGATCACCTTCTGTACTCGCTTTCGGTGCACTCTCTGCATGGCTTCCTTTGCAACTCTGGAGTTCTGGTCTTGGGCTATATTGTATAGAATGCGGTCGCGGCCGTGTTCGTCCTTAGTAGCTTTGAATTTCCGTCAGAGCTTCTATGCCTTTTTGACAGCTCCCTTACATTCCTTAGAGAAGCTCTAAGCCGTGCTCTACGGAATTTCGTGAACACCTTTTCGTCTAAGCCAGCCACAGCCTCGAACCGATTCAGAAAGATATTACAACCCCGCTACAGCGCCTCAAGAAGCACCCCCTAGCTCATAGTATCCGGGTGCGTGACCTGGAGCCGATCAAGTCGTACGCGGTTTCTCCGTGGTGGCAGCCGCCAAAAGTATGGATAGCCGCAAATAAGACCTTGATTACACAATACAAAGCTTTCTTTTTGGCTGCAGTATCACAAGTGCCGTATGTCGCAATTGCTTACACTAACTGCATTAAACTTGATAACCCCCCGGGTGCAGGTACCGTCGCCCTGACCTCCATAGGGAGAGAAGTGATGGTGCTACACCCAACCGATTCCGATCTACGCTCTGCCTACCTACCAGTCTACTTCTCATATTGTTAGCATTAGTTCGACTTTGTGGTATAGTTGTTGTGGCTGATCTATAGCGCCCCGCTGGATAATCGGGCCAAAAGCCTGACAGAACCATGAATGAATACAAAGGAAAAAGTCTTAGGCAGGCCAAATACGTTGCTTCAGCTTCGTTAAGAGAGGCATCTCAATACCTTGACACATGTGCATGGGTAGTGGTCTGGCTGGTAGCCTAGGTCGTCCGCACGCATGGTGCCTTACACCAGGTGCTCCATTAACGTCTCACTAAACGTGAATTCGACTACTGACGATTGCTCTCCCCCGTACCATGTCGCTTCTAATGCCCTCTTTTGTAATAGAATTAAGCTTGAGTTCATCCATCATGATCAGCACATTCTCTGCCTCTCGATCAGCTGTGACATCTGGGTCGCCCCACAGCGGGTGGTGCATGTTTAAATCCCTCACGAACATATACTCCGCGCCCCGAAGCTCCGATCATAGCTTGTAAACCGTGCCTGTGCCCGGTCGATAGCAGATGTTATGGATAAATATACATGTATTCATCCACTCGGGTTGGGGTGGCACTTTGGGAGAATAGCAGCGGATAGTCTCTATCAATATTCTGGAATGGCCACCTCTAAAGTCTATCTCCTTGTTGATAAAAAAGCAAACTCCATTCTACTCTCCTGGTTACTGGCTTTGCTTTGGGAATGGCAGCTAAAATGAGGCCGTAGCCGATTGGTGGGTTGTATTAGTGTTGTCGTTTTTGCAGGGCTCCTGGACAGCGATCACGTCCGCTTTACGCACACCCTTATCGCGGATGAAAGACGCCATCAACGGCCAAGATTTGCATACATTGTTTTGGATGATCTCGAACGCACTCATGCTCATGAGGGATCGATCTCGCTTTTCGGCTCTCTAACGTCGGACTTTTCTGAGGAATCGTGCCATTGCTCCTGCGCCGTTTCTACTTCTTCAGCTCCGTGGGCTTAATAGATAACCACTGCCGCCCTTGACTTACTTTGTAAGCCCCGGGTGACGATGGGGGATCGTGGCAGCCATTGCATTTCTTCTGGTCAAACAAATCGCTCTGGTTCTGGTTCAGGGCTGTCCATGCCGGTTATAATCGCAAACGTGGCGTCACCTCATCTTGCATTTTTCCCGTACGCTGTTTCTTTGATGTAATGTGCTCTCTTGTCTTGGTGGTTCTTGGTAGGAGATGCAACAGAAAACCGAGCGAGACCGGGTAGAAGTTAAGGCTGTGCTATGTACCTGACTCTAGGCCTGACCCTGGGCTGGTGTGTTTTCATTAGTTAATTATCTTGGAGTTATTCTTGGAGTTCCGTGGGAGTCCTCGCTTCTGCGTGGACTGGATATGGGTTCTGAGTAGTCTGTGCCAAAACCCGCAAATGGGTAGGTCAAGCCAACCCATCTTTGCATAAATTTTTGACACTATACTTAAATAGGATGGATAAATCCAATTTTTTATATGATAAACCATTTTTATGTATAGTTATATACACAAAGTTTTATGTTTGTCCTGTTTGACTACCCATTGGGTAACCCGCAAACCCGCGCGGGTTTCCCATAAGATCCCGCAACCCGCATGCGGGTTGAACAGACCGACCCATTTCCCTACCCATAAAGGATGGGGTGGGTTTGGGTGCTGGTTCTTGCGGGTTATGGTATAGCCTAGTTCCGAGGGTATTCGGCCGAATGTCGCCCCTGCCGTCTCCGCCGCCGCTGCTGCTACTGCATTTAGTACCGTCGCTGGCGTTACCATTGCCTCCTTTCAGAAGTGGAGTGGTAGGCACTTTGATGATGATGAGAATGATGATAATAATGATTTTGTTATTGTTATTGTTGCTGACTTGATGCCTGTTAGTCGTTGACCCAGCTTGGCTATATCCTGGTCAATCTTATTCAGTATTGAAGGACCTTCGCCATGCCGGCCAGTCGCGTCACAACGTTGGGGGCTCTGGGCGCTTAGGCGTAGTCACAGGCATTTAGGACGAGTTCATCCGTGCCCGGGGTCTCAGCTTCAATATACTCAAGCACTCTCTTGGCAGCGAGGGCAGTATCTTTCATGGTTTGGAGCTGACCTCACCCGTGATGGCCTGGGCCACTTGGCGCGTAAATGTTTTGATTTTCCACTAGTGCCTAGACTGGACTCAAAATCACGGTTCGGCTGCGCTACCCCTACGGCTGCCATCTCATCCTTGAGATTGTGATCAAACATTAGTCGCTGAAGTAATTATATAAATGAACTAGGGCCTATGGTTGGCGAGAAATTCAGAAAAATACTACACGCTAAGAGGTAGTTGTCACTGAGCTGGAACTGGTTAGTTATCTAGTGCTGGTCACGACCAAAGACCCCGATTATTACTCACAAGTGGAGCACTATCCTGAACCCTCTTTACCCTGATCTAAATCCTTCTGGGCCCGTCAAGTGGTGACGTGAGGCCAACAGAGAAACAATACCGAGCCATGATGCCTCTTTGAAGGGACAAATCAGGAAGCAATACAAGTCGGATTTCTCACTATCACACAGGTGCACAGCTTCACTTAATTCAACAAAATGTGTCGTTCCAGACCTATCGCGAGGAATCTTTTGAGTAAAATCATCAGTCCCTAATGTCAAATTATATTCGAGGTTAGTTGCTAAATCGCCTAGCAGGAAGATGAAAATGCAACGGAAGAGCTGGGAAGTCTCTACTAGAAGTAGAAGACTAGTTTAGAAAAGAGAGCATTAGAAGTCATACCTGAGAGAGGAAGAAGATCTGAGTCCTCAAAGCCCCGTAGCGGATCCGCTGGTAAGTGGTCCTGCCGCCTTGCTTGGTCCTCTATTTGAATTGCAACGGAGACCAATGCCTTGGTGATAGAAATATGCATAAGCATAATGCGAAAGATTGACAGTTGAAAGCGCTCCACGACATAATAGGCTAGCTCCGCCAAGCCTGGAGTTTCGTCAACCAGCTTTATGCTCAAGACATCAAGAGCTTGATCAACCACCATTTCAGTCACTGAGCTTCAGAAATGAGCAACTCGAGTGTTTTGTGCATTATCCTCGGAAAGGCAGAAATGGTTAGAGCGGCGTATCTAGCGGTCCATGATACAAGAAGTAAAATAGTAGACTACCCATGACTTTGGATGATTGGATCTTGATATCCGAGAGACAAAGCAACAGATATCTAATTTACTTTTTTGTACTTAACGATACTAAATTTAATATAATGAAACAATGCCTTCCAGAACCTCGCGAACTCTTTGCCACACTCTTTATCGTTTTTTATATTAAGCATGGTCATTCCTATCACATAAAAAAGGCCATCGACATCCTCAGCACACCCCGGTCTACTCCAAGCATAGGCAGGGAGTGATTGCTTGCACCTTGGAGTCTAAGACTCCAGGATCAGGCAGTTTTCTTGGCCTTTAGATTGGCCACGGGGAACATAGGCAACTTGAAAGGGATAGCTACAGCTGCCATGAGCCCATCCAAGATGATATACCAGGCGATCATACTAGATACGAAGAATAGTGCTCCACTTGCCTATTTTTGATTAGTAATGTATAAAAGCGTAAAGGGGCGCCATATTTTCTCACCTCCTGACATCTGGTGGCTGAAGCGGTCTCCAATGAGGCCAATTGCCAGAAAGCAGCAGCTAGAAGCTCCATACCAAGGGTCAAGCAGAGGAAAAGCAACATGTAGACAAGGTTTGTCCTCACGCTGACCAAGAAGAAGAAGAATGAGAGAATACCGACATAAAGCGGATAAAAGGCTACAATACTTATTAGTAAATTGTTGTTAAGTGTCTGGGAAAGTCACTTACCAAAGGCGCGGTGGAACCCTGGATTTGCCGGATTGGACGGTTCGTATGCTGCTGCTGCATTGAAGTATGGAGTTAAAGTGGCGGCAAAAGAGAGATAGAAGCTTCCTTTTCGAATAATCCAATGTTAATTTCACCTCTTTCACCTAGACGTGCTGTAAAGAGAGAAAGGGAGATTCTCTTACCATAGGTGCCAAAGACAAGATACACAAAGGTGTTGCCCAAGATAAATTCCAGAATGCAGGAGATAATAAGCAACAGCCCACCGGAAAACCAGAAAACTCCCCTATAAAATGTTACTTTCATCTATCATCGAACGAGAGAGGGTTCACGTACACTATCGCAGCACCACCTCCTCCTGCGTCTCGCCATCCCATCATCTCCGCCGATAGAGGCCCCAACCCCAAGAAGAGGCCAATAAATCCTCTTTTGTGTGCACGAGTCAGCAAATGTTTATAATCTTAGTTAGAGGAAAGAGGAAGTCACAAGACAGTGGGGCTACCTCCGAGCCAGTTCGGACGTCGATATTCAGGTACAGGAGCTTTCTCGGCCATAGCAGCAGCGGCTAATCTGGCGCCATAGTTTGGCACCGTTGGGGCTTCAATGTCCTCCATCGTCGAGCGAGATTCTTCTGGTCGAGAATCTTCGGGTCAATTTGAAAGGGAAGAGAACCGGTACTTATAAGTAGAAAATAACACCCGAAAATATTCTCTTGATCTTCGATACACTGCGAAGGAAGGGTTTTATCCACTCTCGTGACAGATTTTTATCCGGCTACAGTGCTCCGGTTGAGATCATAATCTGCTGTACTATCGATTAAATACTAGCGCAAAGCTCTACATAGTCTAACATGCCGGAGTTCGGATTCATCAGCCCCTAGTCCACTTGTCGATTATCACTGAGCCAATCAACAAGCTCTCGGTGCGAATCTTTTCTAATTGGGCAAATTTATCAGTTACCGCAGTGGGGCTACAAAGGCAAGCTTTTCCGACGTTGCGGTATTTACTGTACCGTTGGTAGTATACTGCAAAGTAAAAGTACAAAAGTATTTGCACGCAATCGCTCCACATTTGGCAGGAAGGGGTGCAAATACTTTCCTCCAGTCACTGTGCCTACTGAGCCGGTCAGAGTGGTGAGATTTCCCAACAGTCTGGGCAGAACTCGGGCTGGGAGCATCCGTCTATCCCAGAACTAAGAATTGACCATCAAACTTTGTTTACATGTATATTTTGTACCAGTATTGTAAAGACCGTAGTCCTATCCCGTGTGCACCAAATAAGTTTCACCGGTTATCGATCAGATTTTTCGGAAGTAGATCAAGTCCCGAACTTTACTCGTGTTGCTCCTCGTCCGATTGGTCAATCAGTGCCGCCCCCGGCAGATCTTCCCTAGCGCCTGTAACCCTCCGCGTCTACCTAATTTGGCCACTAGCACCCTTCTAGGTCTGATCCTCTTAGGTGCATCGGCATCTTCATCCGAACATACTACTCGCACGGCACAGATGGCGAATTTACAGTCCACCCGATGTCTTATTCTAGAAATGCCGTATCTTCCGAGTCATATTGCCTTAGCAAAAGAAGAAAAGCTATTTAAGAAACTATATACGTCCGCCTTTATTACCCTTCTGTCTATCACCACAGTACTCTAATCTTCAACTCTTCTTAGAGCAACAAGACTTTAAAGACTTTAACCTTTTTCTTCTATCAAATACCACCATCTCGATTCAAAATGCTCGGAAAGATCGCACTCGAGGAGGCCTATGAGCGCACCGGCCTAGAGAAGAAGTCTATCCGCGAGGCTAAGCTCTATATCGCTCCTACCGACCGTGAGCGCTATATGCGCCAGATTAGTGACATCAACGGCGAGCGTGTCACCCTTTCCAACGCCCACGGCATCGGTTATACCGTTGTCTCTCTGACTGTCCCTGGTATCCAGGGCATTGCCGACCCGGCGGAGGCTGAGCGCATCGCTACTGAGACCAACAACTGGGTTGCCGAGCAGATTAAGGAGAAGCGGGACCGTATGGGTGCCTTCGCCTGTCTCTCCATGCACGACCCCGTCCAGGCCGGTCAGGAACTCCGCCGCTGTGTTAAGGAGCTCGGCTTCCACGGCGCCCTTCTCTGTAACTTCCAGCACGCTGGCCCAGATGGCGAGACCTACCTGTTCTACGATCAGCCCGAGTACGATCCCTTCTGGAAGGTTCTTTGCGAGTTGGATGTCCCTCTCTATATCCACCCTGCCGCTCCTACCGGCGTGATCTACGAGAAGCTCTACGCCCAGCGCCCTTACCTTCTGGGCCCTCCTCTCTCCTTTGCCAACGACGTGTCCCTTCACATTCTAGGATTGATCAGTAACGGTGTCTTCGATCGATTCCCGAAGGCGAAGGTCATCATTGGACACCAGGGTGAACATATTCCCTACGACTTCTGGCGTATCAACCACTGGTTCGAGGATGTCAAGAAGCCTATCTCTAAAGAAGAGAACGGTGTTATGTGCAAGAAGACTATCTACGACTACTTTAAGAACAACATCTGGATCACCACCAGTGGACACTTCTCTACTTCTACTCTGAAGTACGTGGTTAGTGAAATCGGTGCCGATCGCCTCCTCTTCAGCGTGGACTACCCCTACGAGACCATCGAGGATGCCTGTGGCTGGTGGGACAATGATGCCAAGGCCATTGCTGAGGCTGTCGGTGGCGTGGAGAACTACCGCCGCATTGGTCGTGATAACGCAAAGCGCCTGCTCAAGCTTGGCAAGTTCCACGACTCTGAGGCGCCTGTCTCTCTGTAGAGCAAAGGTCTGATAATCTCTCTATACGCATGCGGCATAGATTGTTTTGAGACCGGGACGAGGGAGACTTTTGATGCCTATATGCAAGAATGTATGTGAACTCGAACCATTTTTAGAATACACTATTTTTGGAAATCTGTCAGAACATGATTTTCTTTTTTGTATTCATGGTCCAGTCAGGCTTCTGGCCCGATTTGCCAGTAGGGCACTGTAGGATAGCAGGAACAACTATATCACAGTGTGGAAATAACGCTTATCAGATGCAGCTGTAGGCTGTGTGGTAGGCAGATGGGGCAAAGGGAGTAGGTTAAAACAAAGTGGTGGGTGGGGGAAGACAAATCAATCACACAGGTCTGCCAAGACTAGGGATGTTGTAATTACGAAATTGGCCAACTCATTACGAAATCTTGAAATTTCATTTCATTTTCTCGTTTCAATTACATTTCAAGGGGCTGGCGCCTGCTGAGTCATCAGAAGCGGTAACCTATTATAGCCAATAATGGCCTATACTTCATTTTTCTGCCAGTCTTCATCAAGTATGCTGTAGCTCGTGGCAACAGGTGGAAGAATATATATCTTTGGCTTGTTTAGAATACTCTCAAGGTCTCACCCCTTCCTAGCACCCTCACCTTCGAAATGGCTCCTAATCATCCTTGCGGAAAGGTTTCCTACTCAGAGCTCGAGCTTCAGAGATGCTTCAAAATCATACAGGGTGATAAAAAGGTAAGAACTAATTCATAAACTTATCCTCTACTCCCCTAATTGCAGCTTCTTCAGGTGCCTCAAGCACAATGTCTTGGATGCTTGAAGACTCGCGCCAAAAATACTACACGCCAGAGTGAGCATGTTAATAAATGCACAAAAGCACAGGCTCTGATGGATCCCAAGACCGCCGCAGAGAAGAAACAGAAATTGCTAAGTTTCTCTACATCTCAGCCAGCCAGAAGCATTGATCAGCTAATCGCTCAGGTCTGTTTCACCGGGGCTAGACCATTCAACCTTTTCGAACAGCAAGAAATGCGAGAACTTATCCATGCGTTAAGCCCGACGTATCAAATTCCTTCCCGCCAACGAGTCGCCGATGACCTGCTGGATGAAGCATATAATGAACTACTAGAGAAGGTTATTAAAGAGTTACGGAGAACTGAGTTCTTAAATGTCACAGTGGATGAGACCACTAACATTAGATCTCAACGGGTGATAGTGATGACTATAACAACGCCGATAAAGTCATGGTTTGTCTACTTGAATGATATGGAAGACAAGACTCTTGATGCTCCTGCTATTAGTGGTTGGATCTTGAATAGTCTCAAATGTCTCCTACTACAACTGGATACAACGATTGACTGGAAAAGAATTAATTCTATCTCGACAGACACATGTTCTGTCATGAAATCGGTCTGGGAGAAGCTAGAGAACACACCAGAGCTCAAACACTGCTTTATGATTCCCTGTGACTCTCACGGCCTACAGTTAATCATGAAGGATATTGTTGATGCTAAGGGTTCGAAGGTTCCACGGGCTGCGGAGGTATTTAAGTCGGCCCTTGAAATAGTCGTCTTCTTCCACCACTCACCACTCGAGTACGCAAGGATGCAAGGAAAGCAGATTGAGAAGTGGGGATATAGGAAGGCTCTTATTGCGTCAGTCATTACAAGATGGGGAACGCAATATAATATGCTCTCCTCGCTCCACGACTGCCAAGAAGCTATCTGTGAGTGGACACTTATCACTCCTGCTACCTCGACTGCTAGGGGGAGGGAGATTATTCGGATAGCGAACTCGCATTCGTTCTGGTGGCAACTAAAGGAGTTGATTAAAATCCTTAAGCCTCTACATGTTGCCCAAAAAGAGTCCGAAGCTCGGAACTCGTCGATTATGGAGGTAACGCAGCGATGGCTAGATCTCCATGAAGATCTACGAACATTGGCTTCCCAAACATCTCTTAAGGACGATTTCTTGTCCTATTTGGATGGCATAGGCTGGCAAAGTCGAATACTACGTCAGCTTGAGCCTATCCACTGGGTAGCCTATCATCTTGATCCCGCTAGAGTCCCTGGGAAAGTTGACCAGAGCTCTCGTAATTATATCGAAGGTGTGCTACGGCCTCTACAGAACAACGACAAAAGCTCTTCCGCTTGGCATGAATTTCTGTCATTCAGGCAGAGAACGGGCACTTTTTATAATGCCTCCTGCTGGAAGGCCCAGAGCCCGTCTCTCTTTTGGCTTGAGGCAGTACGTTATACTATCAACGATTAAAACGAAGGACTTACTTACGATATGCTTATACAGGAGGACTTTGCTCCGCTTCTTGCACCCTTTGCTCGTCGACTCTGCAATACTGTGGCAATTTCAGCGGCAGCGGAGAGAGCCTTTTCACAGATGAACCTTCAGCATACAAAAGTCCGAAATAGGCTCGAGCCCCACCGCGTTGAAAAACTGCTCTTCGTGCAGATCAATAAACGACAATTCCGGACAGAACGGCCTCCCGAAGTTGCGCAAGAATCACTCCTTCAAGAAGAGGATAACGAGATAGAGAGGGTTTTGCAGCGAAACCAAGTGCTAGACGATCTATCAGGGGGCTCATATCAACTACTAGAGCAACCACCGGAGCAACCACTAGAGCAACCGCCAGAGCAACCGCCAGAGCAACCGCCAGAGCAACCGCCAGAGCAACCGCCAGAGCAACCGCCAGAGCAACCGCCAGAGCAACCGCCAGAGCAACCGCCAGAGCAACCGCCAGAGCAACCACCAGAGCAACCACCAGAGCAACCAACAGAGCAATCACCAACGTCTGCCCTGGTTTTAGCATTGAATTCAG